ATGATGAGCTCCAGAGTTTTTGCCAAAATTAATTAAAAATGTTTACTTAAGAATGAACATGTAATGGAACAGAATACAAATATCACATATCTTTTAAAAATAAAAGCGAATTCAGAGAAATTTTAGCTTGGAGGGTTGAAATGGGAGGCTGTCCTCTGAGTAATGCCTTTAGTCACATTGTTTATATTTAGTCATCTACACAATTGGCTGACATTCAACAGATATTTACAAATAATCATTATGGGCCAGGCACTGGGCTATACACTGAGGCTTCAAAAGTCAATAAGACAGATATGAACACACAGTAACACAAATGTTATGGCAAAGAAATTACAGGGTTTATGGGACCACAAAGCTGAAGAAATAAACCCGCTCTAGAGGACTGGATAAGAACTCCCCCTGGGTTTGACAATTAATCTAAGACCTAAACAATGAAAGGGACTTGGGCTACAAAAGGTCTGGGATGGGGTGGAATTAGTGGGAGCGGGCGAGTACTTAGAGAAGGAAACATATGCTAGGTCCCGGTGGCTAGAAAGGTGGTTCAGGGAGGCTTAATGCTAAGTGCGAGGTAAGAACCATGGAAGGGCAGTTTGCAAGGGATGAACTGAGCAGATCTGTCTTTTCAAAAGCACGCTCGGGCTGTGCGACGTAAAATGGAGGGAGGAATGCTGGCATGAATCCAGCTAGGTGCGTCTTTCGGCGAATTCCAGGTGGCTGGTACAAGGGCAGCAGCTATGTGAGAGAGGCAATTTCATGGGCTGCTTACAACACTGGTGACTGGCGGGATAGGGAAGTGCAGTGAAGAACTGTGAGTGAAAGCAGTCTTTCAGGTTTACTGTGGAGCAGCCAGATAGGCAGAGAGCCTTTTTACAGAGCAGGGAAGAGACCCTGGAGAAGAAAAGGTTTGAAGGAGAAGATCGCGATGAAGGTAACCTACGAGACCTCCAATTAGAGCTAATCACATGACCATGATGACATCCCGAAATTGCGAAAAATGGCATCAATGGATGTTAAAAAAATAATAAAAGTATGTTCTAGAACTAGCTTAAAACATTACAGTGCATTTAAGTGAGGTAGTGGTGTAGGGCTGGGGGAGTGTATTGGGCTGAACTGTGCCCTCCAAAAAAATACACTGAAGCCCTAACCCCTGGTACGTGTACACGTGCAGATGTAATCAAGTTAGGATGAGATTGTTCTGGAGTAAAATGGACCCTAAGTCCAGTAACTAGTGTCCTTTATAAGGAGAGGGAGATTTCAAGGAACACAGAGACGTGGGAGAGAAGAAGCCATATGAAGACAGAGCAGAGGTTGGAGTTACACTGCTACAAGCACAGGAATCCCAGAAGCAACCAGGAGCCACAAGAGGTCAGGCGGGATTCTCTTCTAGAGCCTTCGGAGGGAGCGTGGCCCTGCCGACACCTTGATTTCAGACTTCTTCCTCCAGAGCCATGAGACAATCAATTCTTACTGTTTTAAGCACTTTGCTACAGCAAATGTAAGATACTAATACAAGGAGAAAAAATGTTTTCAGCTGCAGAAGAAATTGGGAGGGAAGACCTAAGCCAGATACAAGACGCTTAATGAGAATCTTAAAACAGTGTTTTGGGATTCTGAACCTATTTAGGTCTTGGATTCAGTTTTCACATTTCAAAACTGGGGAAAATAGTACTTAATCCCTAAGGTTGTACATGGGGCATAGTCTGTACTCTGCAATGGATAATTATAAATAAGTTATTACTAGGCAAAGCTTGCCTATTATAAGTTATTCATTAATCTAAGAGTACAACATGCCAATCTATCCCTTTTTATTACAATATTACTGTTATTGCTGTGTCAGGTCTGATAGGCTTGCATCCTTTTACTCCCGTGAAGGCAATGCTGGTTGGCAGTTTGCCATCACTCTAGTACAGTCTTTCTCGACTGGAGGCAATTTGGTCCCCCAGGGACATATGACACTGTCTAGAGACATTTTTGGTTGTCACAAGTGGGAGGAAAGTGCCACCAGCCAATAGTGGGTAGACATCAATTTGCTGCTAAACACATCCTACAAAGCACAGGGCAGCCCCACGACCCAAAACTGTCAGGCCTCAATAGGGCCAGATTGCAAACTCTGCTCTAGAAGTACCCAGGTAGTCTGCCGTCAAAGCATCAGCTACCAGAGAATTCATTTTCTCATCCAAAATATTCACACTGATCATGCATCCTTTCGAAATGTGGTAGGAGAGACACTATTAACACTGTGAGTCACAAACAGCCCAGAGCTAATGGAAACTTTAAAACTTCCTTTTGATAGTCTAAAAAAAGTGAAAATTCCTGTCCTAGAAGACAGCCCTGTGGTCAGGAACCGCTCTGCAAGCTCCAGCAATAATGGCCCGATGGCAAGCTGAGACGGCCACACTCCCCAGCCATGTGTGGGCCGTGCTCAGCATAAACCATCTGCCAGCCTGGGGAGGAGGAGGGACCAGTACGTCTTCTCCCAAGCTATCTCTCCCGGTAGCCGGCCGGGGAGCCTCCCTAAAGCTGCACACCACTGGAGACCCAGCAGCTAAGCTCCTTGACTGAACCCTGGAATTACAATTAGGCAGTGGGTGGTTGGGTCAGCCGTACAGAGCTGGCACAGGTACTTATCCTTTATCTGTACCTGGTAGCCAAGCCTAAATTATTGCCTTGTTCAAAGATGTTGTATCTCCTTCGCTGCTGCCTCTGGCATGCGAAGCATTTGCAGTTGCCTCCTTGAAGCTGCAGAGTAAATACGGCTGTGCATACTGCACATTTTTAACCAAGCCTGTTTATCAAGCCTCTGCGGTCTGCTTGCCACCTTCACCACTGATTCAGGTCATAAACGATTTGAGCCTCCAATGCCATTCTCCGAGTCAAGAGTACCTTAGAAACATGTTGAGCTAATTGTAAGGGCAAGAAAATTCCCATGTTGGTAAAGGCAAAGTTAGGTACTCAGGTTGCCCTTTCCATTGGAGCTGTACATTTTGCTCTGTTTTTTTTTAATTTATTATTTTTAAAAATTTATTTATTTATTTATTTTAAATTAGTTTCAGGTGTACAACACAGTGCAATAGCTATACTTTTTACCCCTCAAAGTGACAATACCCCTCTCCCAATTTGCAGCCCCACTCCCCCCCATATCATACATATCTATCACAATTCCATTGATTCAACTCCCGCACTATACTCCACATCCCATGACCATATATATATATATACATATATATATATTTATATTTAATAATAGTTGACATACAATATGCTCTGTCTTTTCTTATAATACAACTTCAAACATACCTGAGTCAATAAATGTGGGCTAAATGTAATGGCAAGATCTCCTCAGGGGGGCAAAGCATGCTGCTAAGTAGAATAGCATATAGCTTAACACTAACTTTCAAAAGTCTGTATTTATTGGGTAGTTGTATGCAAGTTCAAGGCTAAAAGCTGTACTACACTGGTTTAAATACCCTTAATGGCTTTATCAAGTCACTGAGGACATAATCAAAACTACATTTATATCTAAAATTGTTTTGGTATAGTTTATCATTAAAATCAAACATTTAGATAAAGCTTTGGGGCCACTGAGACAACAGATATTTCAACAGCTGGAAGATGTTAAAAGTCAAGGGCTCTGGCTTTTGAAGAGTCATATATAATTACTCTCCCCTAAAAAAAGACATCTCGAAGAAAGCCAAAGAAACATGGTATCTCATAGGAAACCAACAAAACATAAAAATACAAAAATTATGACGCCTCTCCAATCTTTATTTGTAAAATGTACTTAGGTACCAGAACTAGTTAAACTGCCCCTTGGTAAGAGAAATAATTTCTTCTTAAAGTTATGGAAACGCTATTTTCCTAAGTATGAAAAATAATCATCAGCATCTTTATGGCTTTATCATAGTTGTATTTTGGCTTTTTAGGGTAAACCATAGAAAGTTTTCGTTTAAGCTAGGCAGCCAAGCAGCTGAAATCATAATACAGTCTGACTAAAAGGAGCACAAAGAAAAGGCTCCACCTCTATTTCAATTCAGTCTGAATTTTCCAGCTAAAATGTCAGCAACTCAGGAGTAGAATTTAAATAAATACTTCATAAGTTTGGACATTTATTTCACATATTCATAGAAGCCTGTTTCCATGATTCTCTTTGCCTAGTCTAAATTGTACCCCATGGACTACCCTGACTGCTGTTGTATACCAGCAATTCAGCCCACCAGCATCGCCTTGTATGTGGGAGTAACACACTACCGATTTACGTTTTTTTGTTTGTTTGTTTTTTTTTCCCCCTGAGTTCATATTCTAGGAAAGATGGAATATTTATAAAGGACCATCAGGAAAATATTTTACAATCTTGCATATATTGAGTACAGTTAATAATGTTCCCTAGAGAAAGGCAGAGTTGATGTGTGTGTGTGTGTGTGTGTGTGTGTGAGAGAGAGAGAGAGAGAGAGAGAGAGAGAGAGATCCAACCAATTTATTTTATTTCCTTAAGACGAGAATATTGGAGTATTGCTAACATCTTCCCAGTCACGGGGAAATGTTCTAGACAAACAATCATTAAGAGCAGTGGATTTTAAATTCAGTTACAAGGAGCACTAGATTTGTGCCACAGCTTGTTCTCAACTAAAGCAACTTTTATCTGTTTTATACAAAGGTTCTATGGAGAAGAAGTTTGAAAAATGCTGACTGGGAATAAGTGTTATCTCCCCAGGAATGCCATGAGAACTTGATGATATAAAAGTGTAAAAATGCTTAGAACAGTGGCTGGCACACTGTAAAAGCTCCCTAGAGGCTGGCTAGAATGATGCTGCTGATAATGATGAGTCTTTATTCGACAGGTAATTCAAAGAAAATGAAGCACAGATGCTACTATGATTCCACGTGTAGAAACTATACCTCTAACATCTCAAGCTTTTAAAGGCTGATCATCTCTCACTGGCATTTGAGTTACAGAGCTTTAAAACCAGATGTACAGCCAGCAACACCACATAAAGGCTTACCTCTTCTTCTTGGTGATAATGAGCACGTCGTTAAAGAGGAAGAAGTAGACTTGCTGTTTGGATGTCCTTTTTGAGAAAAGCACAGTGTCTTCTACATAGGCTGTCAACTCACCTCTCTTTACCAACCACCGGGAAGAGGAGACTAGAGGGAAAGGCTACAAAGAAGAGAAGAACTCAGCATCCAAAGCCAAATGAAAGTCCGTTTATCGAAAGTAAAATATAAAATTTGCATTCAAACAAAAGATACATGTTATGGTACACATCATTATTTTATAGGTATATAACAGTGAAATATAATTAGAGACGTATAATAATTCTCCAACAGTAAGTGAAAAAGAACAATTTATTTTCCATTGTAAAAAAACTATTAACTTGTCTCTAGGACAACAAAAACTCAATGAGAAAATACTTTTTGGGACAACCAAAAAGTATTACCCTTCCATTCACTCTCAAGTGAAAATGAAGATTGGTAAGGAGTCACTTAAAACTGAAAAGCCTAAAATGAAATCTATCAGTATCAACTGCAGGTATGTTAAGTATCACAAATCAAAATCTAAACATACGGAAAACCATAACTATAGTTAACAACAGACAAATATAAAAGTCTGCACTCACTTTATGAACTAAAAGACTTTATCAACAGGAAAAAGAACCCCCGCAAATTTTTGATTTGTCTACTAATTATCCACTTAGCCATATTCTAAAGAACACCTGTTATTACGCGTAAGTTCATGGAAGTTCATCGCCGAAAGCATCATGCCATTTTCTGGCTGGGAAAATGAAGCTTTTCCAAAGTAATCCATCTTAATCTCATAGAAAAGGTTGTACACAAGAAATTACATACATTTTTTAAAAAATTCAGTTTCCAGTTTCCAACTGGAAAACTCTCAAAACCACAGAATAATCCTTACCCTTGAGAGCTCTTGTTTTTCAAGTTACCAGAAATGCTTACTGCCAAAAATCTGATTAAAAAAGTATATATATGCATAAAATAAGCAAGAAATTTTAGTCACACAAAAGATAACCACAGTGGTATATAGTGCAACAAAATGTCTTCCTTTTCAGGGAATAATGATTGTAAATAGCTAAATGAATCGAAGGTATTAGGGAGGAAATAAGAAGGCTAAGAAAGGATTTCATATTTTTTCTTCACTCTGTAAAGGACATTTATAAGAAGATTGCTCATCAGTTATACGAGTATGCTATTTTCCTGAAGGTTTCAAAAGGAAGATGAAAGATTATGGCTGACCTCAAACTTGCAAAGCTTGCTATTAAGGAAGTTCATAGAGTTGCCAGTCCCCAAATCTCAAATCAGATGATTATCCAACAGGGATGGCTGAAATTTAAAAGGCCAACAGACAGACAGATTGCTTAGATAACTCTGGAGAACCCGACCAGCACACACAAGATGTCACCACAAAGAATCGTGTGTCAGGTTGGGTCCTGCCAAAGGGTTGCAATTACGGGGAACACAATGCTGCCTTACTATTGCGTGTAACCCTACAGGATGAACCCAGGACAGTATTATGGTTAAGTTCCAGTGTACATGCCACCCTATGGCTGTTCTTAGTTTAGAGGATAGGGGAAGAAAGTTTTTAAAACTATTTTTTAGAACAGATTGATTTTTATGGATTCCTCATACTCTGTTAGGCACAAATCAATTTCTAATGAACGTCTAGAATTGACAGTGGCTTTCCATATGTCTATGCTTCTTTTGGAAACAAAATTCCAATATTATAAATGTTTTCTTTTTATTCAGAATTTACTGTCAGAAGATTAAACTCATTTAAATAGTCTTCTTGTTTTAAAGAAGAAACTATGAAAACAATCAAAATAAAAGAATCAGAACAACCAAAGGGAGCATAAGTGAATTTCTGGCATTCAGAAGCTCTAAGACTACATAGAATCCAGGTGTGAATTAAAAACTAGAAAAAAAATTCATGAAAAGAATATATCCTTAAAGGTACTGACATAACTCCTATGGAGAAAAGACTTTTCATTCTTTTTTGTGTTACTTAGTATCCTAGAAAACTGGCCTCAGCATAAAATTTAACTAATTTTATGGACCAGAGAGACAAAAATTTTTTTAATTGAGGTAAAGTTAATCAATTAATCATTTAATAGTATATGACATACATGACAAAGTATGTATGTGCGTGTGTGTGTATATATATACACATATATGTGTGTATGTGTGTGTGTGTGTGTGTGTGTGTGTATGTCAGTGGCTTTTAGTACATTCACAATCTTGTGAAATGATCATCACTAATTCCAGAACATTTTCACTACCCTAAAAAGAATCACCATGTATAGGAAGCAGTCACTCTCCACTCTGCCCTCCCGCAAGGCTCTGGCAACTAGTATTCTACGTTCTAACTCCATGGATTTGCCTATTCTGGGACATTTGATATAAATGGAATTATACAATATGTGACCTTTTGAGTCTGACTTCTTTCACTTAGCTTAACGTTTTCAAGGTTCATCTGTGTTGTAGCATCTATCAGAACTTCATTCCTTTTCATGGCTGCATACTATTTCATTATATGGATATACCACCTTTTATCACTTCACTAATTTTGTTGGTGGATATTTGGGTTGTTTCCCTTTTTTTAGCTATAATAAATAATGCTACCATGACCATTTGTGTACATGTTTTTATTTGAACAACTGTTTTCAGTTCTTTTGGGTATATACCCAGGAGTGAAATTGCTGGGTCATACGGTAATTCTGTTTAACTTTTCAAGGAACCACTAAACTCTCTTCTACACTGCAAAGACTTGTTAACACCTTAGAATTCTTCATTTATTTTCTGTTATATCTTGTATTTCTACTTGCTTGCAAGGCCCCCAGACACCAGCCAGTAAACCCATCCACCTATCAACACACCATGATGACCCTATTCAGTCACACTTAAATCATGGCTCATAGAATAGCCTGGGAATCCTCAGCTTCTCCATGTGCTGCATTATAGGGTAAGACTTTCCATTATAAGACCAGAAATAATCCTTTCCAACTCTGTGGAGGAGACTTAGAGAAAGCTGAAGTCTAGCGAGAAAAAACACTGGATTTGAGACACAGACAAAGCTTTCCTCTCTGATCTTAGTTTCGTGTTTTCCTCACCTTCCTTTCTGCCCACCAAGCATCTTGAATGAAAAATCGAATCTGTTTAAACTGTTGCACACCCCCACTCACTCTTTAAAATGCTACAATACGCCCACCATGTCTGTGAAACTATCTGGCAAAGCACCTGAATGGTACTTACTATGTATTTACGAAGAATCAGGTCTTTACCAAGTCCTTTACATTTACTAATTTAATCCTCACAATAACTCCGTGAGGCAAAGTACTATTATCAGCCCCATTTACAGCTCAGGGAAGGCAGACGTGAACGTTTAGCAATGCCCAACGCCATACAGCTAGCAAGTGGCGGCGCTATGGACGCAAGTCAGGCAGGCCGGCTCCAGAGTCCGCCTCTAATTTATACCGGCTTCTGAGGCGCCAATCCAGTGGAGTCTTTCTCCCCTCTCGCATTACCACTGTGTAGCACATGACCCTCTTCCAGAAACCTACACATTTAAAAATGAAAAGCATATGCAAATGTGTTTATGCACACACGCATCCATAATGCATTACAGTACATATATACTTATGTGTGTGCGCGTGCACACACGCTTTTTTTTTTTTTCTCTTCAAATTAGAAAAAGGCCAGCATTATTATACTGTCACTGTTAAGAATGTGGACTCTGGAGTTGGCTGCAGGTCTGAATCCAGGCTTCAATAACTTCCTGGTATATGACTTTGAGCATGTTATTTAATATCCCCAGCTTCAGATTCCTCAACTCTAAAATGGGAATAATAAGGATACTTCCGGGGGTTCCTGTGAGAATTAAATGAGGCTGTGTGAAAGTGGCACATAGTAAATACTCAATATTTTCCTAGTAGTAACAGCTATGATAGTATCATAAAGCAAACATAGCCAACACAGAACTCACTACCTTCCCCTCCATGTTGGGATTCCCTGTCTAAGTGGATGGTGGAGATCTCCATCCAGGCAACCACATTAGACCCCTGGGGTCCCATCACTACTGCCATCCTGCCAGCCTCTCCACATCTGCTTCCAGTCTCCGAACTGGGTTTCTGTCTCCAGTCTCCTGTGTTCCCAACTCATCCTCCATCTAGCTACCGTAACACTTTTTTAAGTAATAAATTTAATTTGATATGTGGGTGTGTGCAGGGGGATTTAAAAAAAAAGTACTATAAAAGAAGGGCTAGGGCCGGCCGAGTGGCGCGATGGTTAAGAACTGGCTTGGGACGCCAAAGGGCCCCAATTCGGATCCCACATATGAGGGCCAGTGACACTGCCCTCCACAGCTAAGATGCTGAACAACAGCTCAACCTGGAGCTGGGCTGCCGTGAGTCACCGGCGACGGCGTAGGCTGCAGCCCTTGCTGCAGTGGGTTGCCATGGGCTACCGTATGTAGCCAGCAGCCAGCGTGAGCGGCCAGCAGCCACAGTGAGCGGCCGTTCAGAAGCCGGCGACTGATCTGCCTCGCCCGGGAATAGCGCAATGATGGTGCCAACTTGGGCCAACGAAGCAACGTCCTCCACAACTAGACTGAAGAACAAAAAGGCCAGCAACTTGTCTGTTCCCCTTCCCCCAATTCTCCAGCTGTTCCCATCCCCCCAATTCCCCAATAAAAATCTTAAAAAAAAAAAAAAAGAGGGGCTAAGTGAAAAACCTCCTTCCCACCCTGGTCGTCATCTACCCAGTTCCCACCTACTGGCTATTGCTCACCACAAGGTAGTAACCGTTATTAGTTTCTTCTATAATTTTCCAGAGATTTCTTATAATAAGCAAATTTTATATTCTTTCTCCTACTGCTCTGCACCTTGCTTTTTTCACTTAATAATATAGAACAAAGCTTTCCATATCAGTATCTAAGATTCTGCTTCACTCCTTTTTCTTTTAGTTGCACAGTCTTACCTTATTTGGGTACACTACAATTTATTTTATCAGTCCTCTATTGACAGATATTTAGCTGGTTTCTAATCCTTTGGAATTACAAAAAAAAATGTCATATGAGTAACTGTATGTGTTATGTGTTGTGTGTGTGTGTGTGTGTGTGTGTGTGTGTAATTTTATACATTTATGAGTATATCTACAGGATAAATTCTTACAAGTAAAAATCATGGGTCATAGTAACTTGCATTTATAATTTTGATAGTTATTGCCAAATTGCCCGCTATTGGGGTTATAACCATCTTTCCCACCAACAACATATAAAAGTGCCTTTCCCTACAATCTCACTGATAAAATGTATAATCAAACTTTTGAATTGTTTATAAATCTAGGAGGGAAAATACATTATTTAATTTCAATTAGCAATTTTCTTCTGAAGGAAGTAAAGAATCTTTTCAAATGTTTAGTAGTCATTTGTATTTCCTCTTTTGGCAGTTTTCTAATTTGCAAAATTCTAATGTTTTTTTTTCTTTATCTTTTTCTTATCATTTTGAGTTTATATGTTGGGGATATTAACCCTTTTGTCTATATGTGAGCTGCAAATATTTGTTTTCTAGTTTGCTATTTCGCTTTTCCCTTATTTTATGGCTTTTATGTTTTCCTCTATAGAAACATTTTTAAAATTTTTATATAGGTGATTATCAGTTTTTCTTTCAATGACTTCTGGATTTGGAATAAGTTTGAAAGGCCTTTCCCATGTTGCTAAAGTCATCTTTACTGGATGCACATCTGCTTGTGTCACTTCCCTGCTTCAGTGGCTTCCAAATGACCTTGCTCAGCAAATCCTCTTGGCACACAACGTCCTCCACGTGCATGTCTGCCTGCCGCACACATTCTGCCCTGTTCCCCTGGCACTACAACTCTGTCCACACCGAATGCATACAATTCCTGGGCTACAGCAGCTGAAATCATGCCCTGTGCATTTGTTCCCGCTCTTTACTCCTGGAAGACCCTTCCTAACTCACCTTTCGAGATTCAGCGCAAGCATAACTCTAGCATGAAGCCTTGCCTGACTCCTCAGCCCTCTATCCTTCATGCTTAGAACTGACCACCCATTTTCATGTTCAGTATTCTCAATAGTCTTCCATTTACTGTGACAGCTGCAGACTTTGCTGACTCCTTCGTATTTCTGTAGTCTTCTATGAGACTGTATGGCTCCCGAGGGCTTTTGTCTCCCCACTGCCTTCCACAAAGAAGGTGCTCATTAAACTTGTTGAAAGAATGCATGTGCTTAGACAAATCCCTTAACTTCTTTGAGCCTCTATCTTCTCATATTTCAAATGAATTGAATAAAAATGTCCATCGTTACCCATAAAGTGTTAGAGAAATAAAGTCCTAAGATTTTATTCATATTTCTAAGTGGACCAAATTAATTGCATTATAAATCTAAACTTAGACAATTTTCCTTTAAGCTTGCAAATACTGTAATCATGAACCAAAAGAAGAAAAGAACCAAAAACTCATGAACTCAGTTGATGTTAATCACTTACTTTTAAAGACCCCTGGGGTAAGCATTTTTCAATTACAAATTAATTTTGATTTCGAGAGAAATAGAGCTTAAAAAAAATCTTAAACCAGCTGATTTTCAGCAAAGAAAGAAAATCAAAAAGAGTTAGGGAAGGATTTATCATCTTTACAAAGAAAAATTAGGGATTGGTTATCTTTGAAGAGGAGGGAACAAAAATACTTCTGATGTCCAGATATATATTTTTTCTCTTAGAGAGGGGTGAGAAAAGGTCCAGATAAAGAGACCTTAGTAGGTGTGGAGTAAAAGAAGTAACTTTTAACCTAACGAGATGGCTTGTTTTAACAAAAAGAGAAAGCTCCAGACTAGGAATTAACTTAGACTTGACTTCGATGCCAAACTAAATGTGATGTTGGCCAAATCACTTCCTCTCCCTGGGCCTCTGTTTTCCCTGCTGCGTCTCTGTACTGAATAAAATTGTTTCAAAGGCTTTTATGTTGGCTGAGAAATGCCACAGCTCTAAGCTACTCGAAAGTTTTCAGGGAAACTGAATGCCCTGATGGCAAAAGAGAGTCGCTGCTGTTATATGATTTATGAGTGAGATTTGATGGGGACATAGGGCTAGGATGAGGCAGGCGTGGTTGAATCAGGCAAAGGTGGATGTGTTGGCAGTTCAGTTTGATGTGTGGTGGTTTTACCCAGGTGCTGCTGATGGTGTGATCTGCTTGCTGTGGGATGACACAGTAAACCCATTACTCTGCTTGGTAGACACAGGAACCACCGGCATTTCCCAGGAGAAATTTTATAAGTAAAGGATAATTTTACTTTTGCCTATGATGGCATTTCTCAGCTATACAAATTACCGGATATATTTTCTAAAATATTTAGAAACAAATTACAGAGAAGAACAGGATTCTTTTTGAAGGACAGGAGAAAGATGGGTTTTGACATTGCTGTGAATATCTGTATAAGGACATTATAACGACTTCATGTGTATGTGTGTGTTTGTGTTGTTCTTAACAAGCACCCATCTTCGTCTGGTTTAAGAAAAACTATGGGTCATGTTTCTGCAATTAAACCAGTAAGAGTCAGGAAGTTATGGTGGAAGAGTTTACACTGATCTGCAAGTCAGGACATGTGGGCCCTCGTCCCAATTCTACCACCACTACTAGCGACCCTGCTACAACTTATTATTCTCTGGGCTTTGTTTTCCTCATTTATAAAATAAAAGGGTGTCGCTGTACGCTATCAGTGGTCCTCACACTCTATGACATGGTGCAGACTCTGCTGTGTGCAGCATGCCATGAAAGGCTGATCGCTCTAATTCCGCTCTGTAAATTAGAACACTTTTACTATATATATATATAAAAAGCATGAGCACTCATTTTAAGTTGATTAATTAAATCTACATGTTACAAAACAAAATAGAATCACAATTTTGAGCATTCACATCCATGAAGAACTCAGCTGAGAGCCAACAAAGGACCGAGCAAGGCCAAGACTGGCCAGCAAGTGTCATTTTCTCTGTGTTCATCCTGTCATCTGCTCCTGAGCAGGGTCAGCTAAGCAGGAACAGGCAGCACATACTCGATCAAGAATTATGGGACAAAAACAAATTCGAAAAGAACAGTCCACTAACAATCCACTAACAACACTTTTTGCAAACTGGAAAAGAAGGGTCCCTGTTTGATTTAGAAGAACACCCTAGCCCAGCTTAGGGGACACCATCGTTATCCAGGCCACTTTGAGAATACTGAAGAAATCTCCTTTCCATACTAAAATGCTATGATTTTTAACTAGCCTTTCTCCAAGTTTGGTGTGTTCCTGGAAAAACAACAACAAAAAAACGTGCTAGTTAGAGAATCCCTAACTTTGTGGCCTGGAGAAAGGTCTCTTGATCAAGTATAAGCAAAAGCAGAGTCGCCCTGAGCAGCTGCTACTCCCTCTGCCAGCCTCTCTCGAATCAATTTATGGCCCTTCTTTGAACAGTTAATTCCTATCCAATGTGTTGCTCTCAACTGGCTCTCTATTTACATAAGATTTAAGCAATAACAAGTAATAACAGTCATAAATCTGTTTATGAAAAAGTATGAGAATACCTTAATTTTAAATTCCAGCTGGGAGTTAATTGTGTACATCATTTCAGTCCTTTCCATCTTCCGGGCGCCTTCATTACACAGACGAACCAACTGAAAACAGAATAATAAGGAGGGTTAAGAGGTCAAGGAGAGAAACCTCCTTCCTTCCTTCCTTCCTTCCTTCCTTCCTTCCTTCCTTCCTTCCTTCCTNCCTTCCTCCCTTCCTCCCTTCCTTCCATTGGGGAATTGGGGAATTGGGGAAGGGGACCAGCCAAGTTGTTCTTCAATCTTAGATGGGGAGGGCCTGCCAGTCACCATCTGGCTTCCCGTCGGCAGCTCGTGGCCTCTAAGTGCAAGGTGCTGTGTTACAATCTTAGTTACGGGTGGGCGTAGCCACCATCCCATGCAGGAGTCGAACCGGCAGCCTTGTTGTTAAGAGTGCACGCTCTATCCACTGAGCCATCCAGGCGGCAGCTCAGCTCAAGATGCCGAGTTCAGTCTTAGTTGCAGGCGGGTGTAGCCCACCATCGAACAGGCAGTCTTGCTGTTAGGAGCATGTGCTCTCACCAGCTGAGCCATCCTGCTACCTGTTGGCAGCTCAGCAGCAGCTCAGCTCGGGCGCAGCTCACTGGTCCATGTGGGAATCGAACCGGCGGTCCTGTTGCTCAGAGCTCGCATTCTTAAGCTAACTCTTAACCAACTGATTCACTCGGCCAGCCGAAGCAGGATTTTTTGATGTGTGTTTTCGTGTGTGTGTACCGAGATCATGGTCTCGTGGAACTGAAGAATGGAGACACGGACCAGAGATGTAAAGTTGCAGAAAAGGACAGTTTATTAGAAGAAACAATACATTTCAAAGAAGCAGAAGCGGGCCCAAGCAGTAGAGAATGGCTCAAGAGCCATTATTAGAAGAGAAAGTACACTCCAAAGAGTTTGGAGCAGGCTGAGCAAAAGAAGCTCAAAAGGCCGTATTTATTTTTTGATACAGTGCCTGGCACATGGAAAGTGTTTATTTTTTTAATTTTTCAATTACAGTTGACATTCGATATTATTTTATATTAGTTTCAGGTGTACAGCATAGTAGTTAGACACTTATACAATTTACTAGGTGATCCCCCCAATTAGTCTAGCACCCACCTGGCACTATACATAGTTGCTGCAATATTATTGACTATATTCCCTATGCTTTACTTTACATCCCCATGACTATTTTGTAACCACCAATTTGTACTCCTTAATCCCTTCACCTTTTTCACCGTCCCCTCATCCGCCTCCCATCTGGCAACCATCAGTTTATTCTCTGTATCTATGAGTCTATTCCTGTTTTGTTTGTTCATTTTGTTCTTTAGATTCCACATATAAGTGAGATCATATGGTATTTGACTTTCTCTGTCTGACATATTTCACTTAGCATAATACTCTCTAGTCCATCGATGTTGTTGCACATGTTAAGATTTCTTTTTTATGGCTAAGTAATATTCCACTGTGTGTGTGTGTGCATGTGTGTGTGTGTGTGTGTGTGTATCACATTTTCTTTATCCAGTCGTCTATTGAAGGACACTGAGATTGCTTCCATATCTTGGCTATTGCAGATCTTTCACAAGGAATAATTAGTACTTGGGAAGCTCCAGAGACGCATTTCTGACAGTTGAGCTGCCATACGTTGGTCAAATCACTTCCTCTCCGGCCTGTTTTGTATCTCTATCACACCACGCCCTTCACACACAGGTCCCTCACACAGTCTGGGCCTCTGTCCCTTCTGCTCCTTTCCTCTGCCCCTCCTCCTTACTGTCACCCGTGGGAACCTCACCCAACCTCAGGACACAGTACACCTTTCTCCTCACTTCCAAATCAGAGCAGCTGGAGGCAAACTACCCACTTCAAAGGTAAATTCTCAGCAGAGTGGTATGTGCAACATGTGTGAGCAGTCAACAGGCTGCTGAAACAGGGAAGTCTTCATCAGGTGGCACCTGATGGTCAATGACTCCTCCAGGATGGCCAAACTAAGGGAAATTCAGTTTAATGAAAACCACTGAATTATCTACAAACCCAATGCATTCACAGCCCTTTGATGAGTGCCTATAATATTGTGACTTATAACAAGAAATATATAGTTGGTCTTTGTCCACAGTTCCCAGCACAGAGCATGTAAAAGCCTTATAATTTCCTATATAGGAGCCATAGGGGCATCTTCAATTATATTATTATATTCATTCATAACAAGCCCCTTTCAACAACACCTGAGTTTATGTTAATGCGATAACTTCTGAAAAGCCCCTAACCATGGGATGGGGGCTGACTGCTAGGAGAACCAGCCAAGTGATTAGAAAGAGGGTTGGAACGTTCAGCCCCACCCCCCAGACTTGTGGGGAGGGGAGGGGGGCTGGAGATCGGCTTGCTCACTAACGGCCAAGGGTTTAATTCATCAGTCATGCCTATGTAATGAAGCCTCCTCCATAAAAATCCCTGTACTGCGGGTTGGTGAATAAGAATATCCACATGCCGGAGGGTGTCATGCCCCCAACACCAAGGGGTCAGAAGCTCCTGTGCTCAGGACCCTTCCAGACCTCACCCCATCTCTTCATCTGGCTGTTCACTCGTATCTTTTCATAGCCTTTGTGTTAAACCGGTACTCTAGTGAGTCAGTGGCTTTCTAGTGTTCTGTGAGCTGCTCTAGCAAATGAATCAAACCGAGGAGGGGGTGGGAGGAACCTCTGATTTATAGGCAGTCAGTCAGAAGCACAGGTGACAAACTGGACTTAAACTGGCAGCCGAGTGAGGGTGGTCTTGTGCGACTGAGCCCTTATCCTGCAGGATCTGATGCTTTCTCCAACTGAATTGGATTGTAAGACACCCAGCTGCTACAGCAAAATTGCTTGGTGTGGAAACCACCACACACACACATTTAGCGACCAGGAGTGTCGGAAGTGAAGTCTTCTATGAGTAGAGTACTGAAAGTAGAGGGAATACACAGGAGTTTATCCTTTACGTATATCCTTTACATATATCCTTTATCCTTAATGTATAATTAGTTCACTGGCCTTAACTGAAACAAGCTTTGTATGTCCAATTTCTTATTTGAAATCTGTACAAAATGTCCACTGCCCATGAGGACAAATGTGATTTTTTAAAATAAAAGATGAAAATTTTGATTGAATTTATTTTTAATATTACCTTTATAAAGTAAGTTATACATGCTCACTGTACAAAAAAAATAATACACAGTAAATAAAATAGGCCCTCAAAGGTTCTGACCTAATCCCACTCTACAGAGTAAGTGAGAAAAGGTTGAGTTATATGCTTCCTCTTTTTCTCCTATGCTTATATGAACATGTAAACATATATGTACAGAAGGTTTTTTTGTTTTGTTTTTTGTAAATGAATCATTCTATGCTTGTCTGTGACTTGATTTTTTTTCACTACCAACATTTCCCCTAATATATATATATAAACATATAAACATAAATATATATATATATATATATATATATATAAAACATTCATACATGAAAAAGTTTATTTTGTACCTGGCAGGTATCAGGTGCTAGGGTTACAGCACTTAATAAGGCACACACAGTCTCAGTCCTCACACACAATCTTGGTCCTCAGAGAAGGGCAGAGGAGAGAAACAGTCATGACAGGCTGAGATCTTAAAGGAAAAAAACGGGCGAGTGGGGAAGAAGGAGGGAGGAGGAGCCAGGGGCCTCTCCTGAGAGGTCATTTGAGCTAAAAGCTGAAGGTAAGGAGGGAGAGCAGTGGTCCAGGCAAAGCCAACACCGTGCGCCAAGGACCAACCATGGGAAAGTGCTGGTGAGCCGAGAAAGTCAAAGGTCCTGACACAGGGAAGCCGTAAAGCTCGAGAGACAGGCCAAGGGCAGAGCACGAGACAGGCCAAGGGCAGAGCACGCAAATTCTTAAGGTGTCTGGATTGTAGGCTAAGTGCAAAGAGAAACCACCGGCAGGCTTTCAACAGGGGAGCGATGTGATGCAATTTATGCTCTCATCATATGGGCTCTCCATAGTGTATTTCTTCAATCCCTGTTGATGGACGCTTAAATGATTTCCAATTGCTTAACAGGTTTCTAGATTTGGAGGTTACACCTACCTGCGGTCACAGCGTATTTTAGGTCTGATTGGTCTGAAGAGGTTCACTGATTCAGAGACTGACGGCTAAACCTGATCAAAGCTAGGACCTGAAAATACGCTGACTGGGGTTGTGGCAGCTTGAAACTGCAATATCTTGAAAGGGTTGAGATATGTCAGAGCGCAGTCCAATTGGACAGCCACTGCTCAGGGCATTCGTATGATTTCTCTGGAGGAATATGCTCATCGTTTTCAAATCTATGCTCCCAGGCCTGTTCCATCCCCTAGGCTCTACATCCAACTACCTAGATGACATCTCTTCTTGGATGTCCCATAGCCTTCTCAAACTCGGAGAATGACCAAACCTGAGCATCATCGCCATCAACCCCCTACCTCCCAGCCCAGTGTTCTCTGTCTCCGTAAGAGATCCCAGCATCACCCACGTACCCGCACCAAAAAACGTGGTCCTCAGCACTCTCAGACACCTTCCTCTCCTCTGTCCTCCACCTCCAAGCAGTCATAAAGTCTCCTCAACGTTTCTGTCCTGTTGTCCACGATCGTCCCTTTGCCCTGCCCCCTGAACTTAGGCTCAAATCCCTTCTTCCCTGGATTACTAGCTTCCTAATTCTCTGCCATCACTTCTGCCCTATCCTGACATAGCCTCCAAAAACTCTTGTCAATATTTTTAAGATCAAATCTGATCATGAAACTCTGGGGCTCAAAATCCTGAAAAGTCTCCCCACAGGTTTCAGAATTAAGTCTTAGCATGACCACGATCTGGCACCTACCTACCGATCCCTAACCTCTCGCTGCTCTTATCTTGGGCCTCAACCCTTCCAAATTTCCGGCCAAAGCGCCACGCTCCGTCCTGCCTGCACACTGCTACACGTGTTTCCCTCCACCTGAACACCCTTTACCCCACTCTGACCCACTAACCCGTTCCTATCTAGACGGATGCCCTCTACTTGTCTTTCTGGACTCATCTTGGGCTTTGTCTCTCCAAAAGGATTAGAGAGCAAAGGTGGTAA